ACAGCTCACAGCAACCTCCAACTCCTGGGCTCAAGTGAGTCTCCTGCCTCCGCCTCCCAAGTAGCTGGGACTACAGGTGCCCGCCACAACACCTGGCTATTTTTTGGTTGCAGTCATCATTGTTTGGTGGGCCTGGGCTGGATTCGAACCCACCAGCTCAGGTGTATGTGGCTGGCGCCTTAGCCGCTTGAGCCACAGGCACCGAGCCAGGAAGCTATAATTTAACACCAGTGCCTAATCCATAATTTAACACCAGTGCCTAATCCACCCTTCAAAGAACTTTTCTAGAATGAGTTGGCGAACTTAATTGTCATATCTCATATGATGACAGCTCTGTTGGCATTTTCAGAAAGAGGTCCAATATTGCTTTGAGGAGTGGACTAGGGACTGGCATCAGTGCATAGCTTCCCAAGGGGAGTACTTCAAACGTGGCCATAGTGATATTCCCAATGAGGCATGTAGCACTTTTTCTAGGATAAATACCAGAACTTAGGGCAGTGCCCATTGCTCAGTGGGTAGGGCACTGGCCACATACACTGAAGCTGGTGGGTTTGAACCCAGCCCAGGCCAGCTAAAACAACAATGACAACTGCAACAAAAACAAAAATAATAGCCGGGCATTGTGGTGGGCACCTGTAGTCCCAGCTACTTAGGAGGCCAAGACAAGAGAATCACTTAAGTCCAAGAGTTTGAGGTTGCTGTGAGCTATGATGCCATGGCACTCTACTCAGGGCAACAACTTGAGACTCTGTCTCAAACAAAAAACAACTTAATTGTCTGACCTCATAGGAGGGAACTCAAATACAGAGGGGATAAGTCACTTGTCCAAGGCCGCACAGCTAATAGGCCAGAAGTGCAAGATAGGGTCGGAATGTTCACAGGGCCAAGGGAAACTTCTGTGGATTATGAGCTAGAATGTCCTTAGGCCATAGTAGCAGGGTTAGACCCTGGGGTCCACGTATCCTTGGGGCCTAAGTGTCCTGAGAGATGCACATGGGCTCTGCCTGCAGGTGCAGCGTGAGGCCCTGTTCATGAAGAGTGAGCGTCATGCAGCAGAAGCTCAGCTGGCCACTGCCGAGCAGCAGCTACGCGGGCTACGCACCGAGGCTGAGCGAGCACGCCAGGCCCAGAGTCGTGCTCAGGAGGCCCTGGACAAGGCCAAGGAGAAGGACAAGAAGGTAGGTACCCCCTTTTCCATACTTATTTGGGAGGACCTGCTCAGCAGTTGGGGAATTCTAAGGATGTCCCTGCTCAAAGCGTCTTGGAAAATCAGCCCATTTTCCCCAGACAGAAGACTGAGGCACAGAGAAGGAAGGAACTTCAGCTGTAGCCTCTGACAGTCAAACACACAAGCATTTAGTTCCCATAAGATAGGTGCTTTTATTATCCCCATTTGAGGAAACATAGGCACAGCAAGGTGAAGCTATTTGCCTGTGGTAACACAGTCTTGCCTAGTTCAGCCAGGGTTTTAACTCAAGTTCTGTTCTGAAATAATATGTGCAGCCTCCAGTTGTTGGGTTGAGTATTTTGCATACATTATCACTTTTTTTTTTTTGAGACAGAGTCTCACTTTGTTACTCTTCATAGAGGGCTGTGGCATCATAGCTCACAGCAACCTTAAACTCCTGGGGTCCAGCGATTCTCTTGCCTCAGTCTCCCAGGTAGCTGGGACTACAGGTGCCCACCACAATGGCTGGTAATTTTTAGAGACGAGATCTCTGTCTGGCTCAGGCTGATCTCAAACCCACGAGCTCAGGCAATATATCCGCCTAGACCTCCCAAGTGCTAGGATTACAGGAGTGAGCCACCGTGCCTGGCCCTACATTATCACTTTTAATCTTCCCACTTTTAATCTGGCTTCCTAAAAGCCAGAAGACATTTTTATCCCCATTTTTCCAGTGAACAAACTGGGGCTGCAAAAGGTGAAGTGAGTGGTTTAAAGTCATGCTGCATGTCACTGGACAGAAGATGTGACCCCCCCCCCCCCAGCGCCTTAAGGACTTTAACATAAAGAATTACTCGACTCTAATTCACTGGTGACCTTGGACAAGTCACTTCACCTCTCTGAGCCTCAAACTTCTCCTTTGTAAACCATTAGGATAGGGTTTTCTTATAGCACGCTGCCTCCCCTTCAGCACTACGGACCCTAGGACTGTTGTTCTCTGGGGTGGGGCTGTCCTGGGCACTTCAGGATACTGAGTCGCGTCCCTGCCTCCACCTACTCCATGCCAGGAACACCCCCCAGCTATGACAACCATAAATGTTCCCAAGCATCAGCCAGTGTTCTCTGGGGGACAGACTGGCCCCTGGTTGAGAACCTCTGACATACAGTAATAATAATGTCCCGCATTTACTGAGTGCCTACTGTTTGCCAGACAATCTTAACTCAATCTCAGTGTAGGATCCCAGCAACCCACTAAAGTAAGAGTTGTGATTCTCCTCATTTTTTTTCACAAATATGATTATTTGTCATTATTAAAAGCCTGCACTTTAGACAGATTCTTGGACTGGTGGTTTATATCCATCAGTTCATTCAACTTTACCACCTGCCTCATCCCCAGTAGCTTTTCCAGGGTGACTACCTTCACCATGAAGCTCCATGAATTTTCTCAGTTCAAACTTGGGTTTCTTCAACATTTTTCTTTTTC